CAAATTTTGCAAATGCAAAAAAGAAAGGAAGAAGGAAAAAAACAAAACAAAATATGTTCCGGGACAAATATACACAATATATAATATAAAATTCAATTCCTTTCTTAATTTATAAATAATATTCATAAATTTATATATATATAAATTAACGAATAATAAAAACAATATTTTTAATAATTAAATTCTAATTATTTTAGCACAACATCAATTATACCTCCCCTCTTCTCCACCTAATTTTAAATTTATGTATTATATATAATTCCTTTTCATTTCGTTCATCACCCGCAATTCGGCAAACGAAAACTAATTTTCGTAATATATAAATTCCACATCCATAATCATAAATATTCAATTATAATCACACAATCACAAATACAACACTTATAAACCAACCTTGAAACATCGATTTCACACTACGATCATGCAATGCAAGGGCAGCCTTACGCGCCAGCCACATCTGGGCAGTGAGAGATCGAAAGGCAGGATCTAGCGGAGCCTACCGTCGGACCGACGGAAAGCAATTCTTACATATCTGAACAAGACTTCTTTCCAGGGACAGATTACGATCTATCGGTGACATCGAAGGCTCCTGTTGTGTAATGACCTGACGTGCCTGAGCCATGAATTGGGCCCACTGCTTGGTGGTCTGGGTCCAGGCCTGACGAAGGCAAAATCGGTTAATATCCTCATGGTTCTTGGGGTTGGGAATTAGAAACCATTTTAACAAGTGCAAGCTCAGAGCATAACATCTCGGGCCTTAATTGCCAAACAAAAAATCAAAATCTAGATGATGTTTCGGTTGCAGAATACGCCAGGAGATTTGTTCCTTTCCCATGAACACAAAATCAATCCGGATATTATGATTACCATGCACAAAGGTGGGATGAAAAACTCTCGTATGAACAGCTGCCAAGTGGTGGTCCTAAACAAAGGATCGGAACAGGGCTTTATCGGTCTAAATGGCCTTGGCATATTTAATATCCCACCTGAATTCCATGCATATTGATATACGGTGTATATGTCGTGGGGACGATGCAATTGCAATTTAACTTGCAGGATCCTGCCGGGTATGTGATATGCAATCGAAATGGCCTCCCTAAAGATCAATGTAATACGGTCCATTACAAGGACAGAAGCAAGTCTATCTAGTCCATGCATCACACGCCATTCAGAGGTAATTCATTCACTAATCATGCTCCATCCGATCTCCTGTGCAATAATAATATCGAATAAGAATCGATCAATATCAATCGAGCCATTTAATATGGTACAGGAATCTAAATGCATTCCGGGTCAATCTACGGCGCTATATCCACAATTGCCGAATACGAAAAAACATTTATAAGACATAATACCAATATCCAAGGATATAAAACAAGCCCTTAGTATACAACCTTTTCAATCAACAAGCCCTTAGTAAACAACCTTTTCAATCGATTATCCCAATTCCGAAATCAAACGAGACCTAAACCAACTTTTACCATGTCTCGTAGTGTTTCGCCCGACAATCTAATAAGGTCGTTATATAATTCGGGCTTTCGACCTATCCTAAAGCTAAAAAAAAATAATCCTCGCGCCAAAAAAAAACAAAAAACAATATCGATCCATCCTTAAAACCAAAACCAAATTTTGCAAATCCAAAAAAGAAAAGAAGAAAAAAAAAAATAAACAAAATATGTTCCGGGACAAATACACACAATATATAATATAAAATTCAATTCCTTTCTTAATTTATAAATAATATTCATAAATTTATATATATATAAATTAACGAATAATAAAAACAATATTTTTAATAATTAAATTCTAATTATTTTAGCACAACATCAATTATACCTCCCCTCTTCTCCACCTAATTTTAAATTTACGTATTATATATAATTCCTTTTCATTTCGTTCATCACCCGCAATTCGGCAAACGAAAACTAATTTTCGTAATATATAAATTCCACATCCATAATCATAAATATTCAATTACAATCACACAATCACAAATACAACACTTATAAAACACATTAAACCAAACTTATATTTATTATAATATATATATATAATATCATTATAATATATATATATACATGCATTATATTATATATACATGAAAGAATCATTTTATGTTGTCATTATTACTATTATTATTATGAACTATATTTATTCATAATATTGTTTTTGTTATATATATATTGTAACATATATATATATATATTAGGGAAATTCCTTTGTGTCCAGCAGTCGTCAAAGGTGTCACCAGCTTTTTGGATGGATTTCTTGAACACTTCAGGAGGTGCTGGGAGCAGGAGGTGGGCCATCTGGTGTGTGCTCCATGGCTGATAAGCTACAAATAGGTTGGCACCGTCCTGGGGACAATGAGGACCGCGAGCAAAACGTCGGCTTCCGCCATAGACATCCATAGACCGTGTCTCATACGGTCACGCGAGTCTTTGCAGGTGCCTGGAGAAGGGCCGGAAGTGGAATGCTCGGCATGTAGAACTGGGGATATCTATCATCCACCTCCAAGTTCTTTGATTGGTCTACGTTGATCGGCCAGATTATCAAAACTTCCTTGGGGCGACCAAAACAAGTCACACACACAGGTTTAGTAGATAACAAGGAATAAGTAAACTCAAACCAAAGTGAATAAACAGCATTGATTGCATTGATCCTCCCGCCAAACCAATCTAGCCGCAACGTAGCCCTCAGCCAAAAAGATCCGTCGTCCAAATTTGGCAGGTTTCACGGCAAAACTGCTGCAATCTAAGCTCCAAAATTCGGGGTAACTGCTGGCCGATAGGTCATATCTTCACAGACATGCAGCAGTGGGTCACGCTTCCGTACGATGCAGGGTTCACACCCAACAAGCTCCTAAAATATAATCCCATATCATCCCTAAAACACCGCTGCACAAATGAGGGTCCGGCCGCGAGCTCAACATTTTGGGCTCAATAGCAAGCCAGCCAATGGATAAGAAACTCCAGGAGTGTGTATCCCATCCAAGAGCAACATCCAACCCTTCCACTGGCGCCCACTTGGCTCCACCTGCAGGAAGCTCTGTGCGGTGGCAAACATCGTTTCACGCGGCAGATCATGTCCTGATTGCCGCACACATCGGTGAAATCCTGGCATTGGTCCTCACATGTATGTGTGTAGGTCAAACATCCGAGGTGCAACTAATTCTTGAATGGCAGTGAACAAAGCAGTGAAGGAAAGGGGAAAGAAACAAACAACGCATTTGTTGTCCAACACCTGGCAAACCACGACAGGAATCATGTACCTCTGTTGGAATTTGTTGGACGATTCTGACCCTGGAGTTGTCTTCAGAAGTTTGCCGGAGGATACTATATAATCCCCTACGGATGCTCAAAGTGGCCACAGCCGGAGTTTGGAGGGGTCAATGGTTTGAATATGTTTGAATCTGTGTCACACTAGAACAACAAACACAAACACCACCGAGTCCCACTAATGTCCCATTCACGGTTAGTACTCGAGGGTAGTACTTGGTTCACAAAGAACAGCTGTCATTGACAATCCTCATAGCAGATCAATTTTAGGACAGCGACGGAAGTGGAAATCCAGTTGATTGGCCTTCCAAAGGCTAAGGTATGCTCACTAAAGGGCGGGATTGCAGTGATTATATAGTTGGGGAGAATGCTAGTGTGCAAAGAATGACAACTTCTGACAATGACAGCCAACAGCCCCTATATAGCAAGAATGAATCTCTCTGAACCTCTCCATGTTCAAGGAAAGTCCAGTGCTTTAGTTGAACCAGCGAAACACGCCACAGCAGAGATGCCTATGTTGGCCACCCAGCTTTGCCGGGGATTACACTCTTTCGGATGGGAACTCAACACCACTAAGGCCACGGCGGTAGCCATCCACGTCATATCCACCAGCCATGTACAAGACCTGTGGTTCCGGCCCGATCCAGTGTAGTTCTCTGGGCTGGGCCATTTCGTTTCAACATACAAACGCTACACGGCACATGAACAGACTGCATGGCCAATCTTCTTGTGACCATCAAAAACTACCAAAAGGAAAGTTTCGTTCACTTCCCACAGGGGAAACCTTAATGATTCAGTCATTTATAGCAGTTGAACTTCAACTTCGTGTGAGCAGCTTTCTAATTGCCTTGAATAGTTCGTTCACACATTCAGAAAAGGATAACCCAAAGATCCAAAGACAGAAGCAAACTAGACAGACTCAGCACACTTCGGCAGACCTAGATGTTCCCTGAGCTTCTAGACCCACATATGTTGAGTTTGACTGCGAAGCCAATTTCATCCAATTTCCATCACCCCTGAGAGTCCAGTCACTCACTGAAAACCCCTAGAGATCCCTAGAGTAGGGATTCTGACTGCCAGGTGAGGTATTTCATGAGCCAACACGGGAGTTCTGCGATCACCAATCCCTCACCCCACATCGAGCCTCGGCGGAAGTGACCGTCCTCACCGCTGAGACGGCGATGAAAGACGCGTGACGTTCGGACGGTGACGTTTGGACATCGCCGAAAAGGGTCGGAAGTCGTTGGAGGTCCCAACGGCCCGGGAGGATGATGGGAGAGACGAAGACGCCTTCAATTGTTACTACTAGTAAGGCACTTGTTACTAGTAGCGATGCACTTGTTACTAGTAGCGTGGCACTTGTTACTAATAGCTTCTTGTTACTACTAGTAAGGCACTTGTTACTAGTAGCGATGCAC